CCGACGAATCTTTTGCTCGTACACATCTCGCATAAGCGCTTCTCCAGCGACAGCAACATCAATCACTGTAATCCCAGTCTCAGAGCCAATAACGATGTCAGGCTTGCAAAAACTTTGTCGCTCTGGAATATGAGGTTCCAGAAGAACTTCCCGTGCGTCTCTCAAGAGGCGTCTAGCCAGAAGTTTCATTGCCAAATTATGCCGCCAAACCCGTGCTTCATGAGTAATTTGGCAACACTGGAGGATATGGAACAGAGTTTCCCGTCGACCGCATAGCCCCCTACACATAACATTTTCTGGCCCTGTCCTGCGAGCCTTCGTTGAAAGGACACCCGCACGCAACTGGATGCCTCTCAGATACAACCAAGGAAAGACTCGATCAGGGGCAGAAACCCAATGATTAGCACAAAATGAGTCAGAAAACTGTGCCAGGGGTTTGCCATCAACAGAATCATAGAGGCACTTCCTCCAATAGTTCCGCACCTCTGCCTTACTAGTCAGTATCGTTTGCCCCATACGTACTGGTTGAGCAGCCATCCGTAGACCTGGCAAAGCCGAATGCACAATGGCGGCCGCCCGTACTACGGGCTCCCTGGAAGAGAGCACGGAGTCCAAACGATGGCGCTTGGCAAACGGCATTAAAACCGACAGGCAAGGCACCCCGAGACCCCCATTTCGAACCGCCGCGTGAAGGAACGAGACAGGTGTATCGGTAGGCAGTTTTAGCCAACGTCTAACTGCTTGCCGCAGCTGGACATCTAGCCTCTTGAGCGTAGCTCGGTGCACAGCCCCAAGTACCAACTCATGCAACAACTTTGGGACACAATGCCGCTTCAAGAGAGTCATCCGCTGCTGTGGCTTCAGGGGAGCCTTCGTAATTTCTGTCAACATATCGTGAAGCACTGAATGGTGGCGCACAACCAACTTGCCACGGTAAGAGAAGGGCACCCCCAGATACCTGAAGGTGTCCGTTGGTCCCAAAGACCGCAATGCACTCCCCTCAATCGTCACATCACACTGGCGGAGGCACGAGGTCTTCTCCTTTCCAAGCGCTTCGACATAAAACGCCACGCACTTGGTCGGATTAAGGACCATTCCCGCTTGCGAGAGGCCATTTACCAATCCATCCAGCCGTTGCTGTAACCTCTGTGGCGACTCAGCAAACAGGACGAGATCATCAGCATACGCAATACAATCAACTGTGACCCCATCCATGTCAAAGCCAAGCTGCCGATCAGAGTACGACAACGCTTCACTTAGAGCACAGGTAAATAATAGAGGAGACAACGGATCCCCTTGACGCACACCTCGCAAACACTTTACTTCACTGCCGAGGATATGCGTTGTAGTACGCGAATAAGAGGAGGCTAGAAAGTTTACGAAGGGAGGTGGAGCTCCATGAGCCTCAGCCGCTCTAAGGAGCGTGCCATGGTTCACAGAATCAAAGGCTTTTGCGACATCCAGCACCGCCACAGCAATGGATCTCGGAGTCGTGACCGCATGCCGCAGCAGGCCATGAAGCAGAGCCGTCGCCTCCGCCGTCCCATCCCGTTCCTGAAACCCAAACTGGAAACGAGAGGTAGGACAGAGACGTGACCACCTTTGAGCGAGTATTCGGGTTAGCAACCGAGGGAGCACGTTAGAGACCGCAATGGGACGATACTCTGACGGCGACTTCGGGCTCTGAGTTTTCGGAACCAACGTCGTCCTACACCTACAATGCTGAGCTGGCATATGACAGGTCGCCATAATCACACACAAATACCCAGCAATTGCAGACGCAGGCCATCGCAGCAGATCTTTTGCCGACAGCCCGTCAATGCCCGCTGCAGAATCCTGCATCAGGCGTAGGTTACGAGTAACCTCTTCTGGGCTAATCGGATCCATAATCTCCCAAGCCACAGTATTTGGAGTCTGAACCGGTCTTTCATCTGGGTCACTCGGGCGTTCACTCAGGGCCTTCCAAAACTCAAGTGTCCCTTCTGGCAGAGGCGGTTCAGGACAGGGTACATTGTGCCAGTCTCCAGAAAGCACACACTGAGCCCCTGCCTTAAAATTCTTTGCAAGACGACGAGCTTGCACCTCCGCATACTGAGCACGACGTATGTTGCGACGGTTATTACGCCACACTGCTGCAACCGGACGTCGGC